TTTTAGTATGTAAAGACAAGGCATGCAATGAATTAGTTTGTCGTGGATTGGATCAGCACCTGAAGATGGCACATTGGTGCCGAAACATGTAGTGAGAGTGAAAAGAGGGGATAAATAAATGTATGCACTAGAAGACGGATAAAATAAATCATGGACTTAAATCAGTGCAACAGGACGCTAAAATATAATGACACTAAAATATATTCAGTACACTTAAAGTGTTCATTAAATATTTTAAATATCATTAACTATATACAGTACATTCATTCCTTGTTGCTACATTTTTCTGCCAGGCATAGACCATCATCAGGCAACACTTATTACTGGGGAGACCACTGTACTGTACACTTTGTCTTCTGTGCCCTTAGGCACATCATTGATTTGTTGTTAATTTCTTTCATAGGATATTTCCATTGTGTCTTTTTGGTGGCTATTTCAGTCTTTCTTTATGTCATTTACTTTTGTTGTGTATGCTTTATTGCTGTCTTCCCTTGTACTAAGATTTCTAGACACAGTTCACTCATCAACACACCAATTAGGACAAATATGGTGGGATGGACCCTTTGATCAGGCAGTTTTAATATACATAGATATATAATACTTGTATATATGGTGTGTGTGAGAACAAAAATCTGTATTGCAATTTCAGAAACTGGCATAAGCACATGGATATTAAAAAATATATTAAATTTACATGCCCGTTGCCATCACGGTCCCATTGCTTTTCTCATGGAGGAAATAACGGGGAAAGAAACTGACTTGAACTAAACTCATGTGTATAAGAGCAAAATAAAAAAAATTCTTGAGGGCTAGCAGGATATTCAGACATTTTAATAAACAGAACCCAACATCATGTAAAGAAGAGAAGACACAATGTGCATCACTATTTGTATGATATATACAAGGAAAATCCAACAAACTATACTTTTACCATAAAAGCTTTTAGAAAAAAATTTGTACCACTTTATGACTTATGACTGTGAACCATATTTTAAGATTTACAAGAAATGTAGTGCTAATTTCATTTTATTGTTTTGCCTCTGAGGATGGCCCCAAGGGGCAGAAACACATAAGGGTACAAATCTAATTTGATTTATTCTATCAAATTTGCTACACTGGGTTGCTTATTACTCTAATAATTACTAAAAATGTAACAACAAAGATGTCATGAATGTAAAACTTGTATGATTAATAGCACCTTCTTAATTCTGTATGGAATTTTTAATAATTATTCTTGTTTATGAAGAATAAGTGCATCATGGATCTTATGCTTGTTCTAATTATGTTAATTGTTTCACATTCTTAATGACTACTATTCATGTAATGCATATAATCTACCTACCTACCTACCTACCTAGCTAACTATTAAGTATGGTCACCAGAATGAAATAGACAATCTGGGTTGCAGGTTTCAACAACAGATGGCATGTAGTAATGGGATTACATACTTACTAGCAGGTTCTGTCAGATGCTTCTGTGGCTGTGGATGGTGATTCATTAAGTACAAAGGTTTAGGAAACCGAATATGATTAAAACATATTTTTCATCCAAGTTTTTCCAACCTCAAGTGTCCTAGAACATCCATTATATATTGTTTGAGATTTTCACAGCTGTGCATTTGCAATATGGTATTCTGGGTTGTGCCACTGTGTAGTCTCCAAAGTGGATACCAATACTTCAGAGGAAGACTGGCCTTCAAAAAAAGGGGCAACTTTCTTAATTATCCACTGTCTGTCTGCAGTGGCCTCTAAAAGGTGGCTGCTTTCTCAGTATTCCTATTGGCTTGGACCAAGCTCTACCTACTCTCACCCTCAGAATTTCAATGTAACATGCCTATACAAACTTAGCCTACTTCAAGCCTGAAGATGAAGACAGTATTTTCCTTTGCAACACTAGTAGCCATCACTAAGTGCACATGATGCCACTACCGGAAGATCATAATATCATTTAAGGTTGTTGGCAATGTTGCTATATATTTCGGTATGGGAATTTCATGCCATGCTAGGTGGGACCCTTGTCACCATGGCATGGCACATACTCAAGTTGTGGATGGAGAAGACAGTCTCCAGATAAGGAGGGTACTTGCAAATATACTGAATAAGCAGTTGCAGACAATTGACAAGGGGTAGTGGTCAAATGTGGGGCTAACAACTCCTCACCGCAAAAAACAAGCTTCTTACAAAATGTCACAAAGGGCCTCAGACTTGGATGGATAATTCCGCTAAATGACCTAAGCTAAAAAAGTGGACACAAGATTTGATACATTGAATGTAAAAATCTATATATGGCAGGTTCATTCATGACAGTTGTGAAAAAAATATTGAAATATGTATAAGTTAGATTTATTGGCAATAGAGAAAAGTGGGTGGGACAGAGGTGGCAACAAACCAGCAGGCGAATATACATTATTCTATGAAAAGGGAAATGAGAATCATGAGTTCTGTACAAAAACATAACTGTACTTGTGACGAGAGGATGGGTCTGTCTTTTATATATGCTGCTGGCCCTTGCCATTGCAGTGCTTCTCAGGTCCGAGTCCCTTGGGGCTTGTGATCATATTTTACTCTCTCAGACTTGAGACTCCACTTTTCGTTGCCACCTACTACTTGCAGGGTCACGATGGAGGTATTCGACCCCGCCTCCACACAGTGGCTCTTCTTAGCTGAAAGCGGACTCATATTATATAGCCATGGCATGGACAACACAGAGAACACAGTTCAGGTGTTGCGAAGTGCAGACCACATAGAAAACAAGTCATGTGGTAGCTAAGTACTGTTGGAGTGTGATGTCATTGAGCCTATGCGTAAGTGTATTTACAGAGCTGTTGTCCAGGAGCAGGTTGCACAGCCCTGTTGTTTCATTGTTGTTCATTAGAAATGGCTGTTCTTTGGCTCAGCTGTTCTTGCATGGGGCAATTAGGCCACAATAATAAAATTGATCTCAGAGAGATAGGATGGGGTGTTATGGATTGGATTTATCTGGCTCAGAATAGGGACCATTGGAGATCTCTTTTGACCATGATAATGTACCAGGTGGGATTGAAATTAAACGGGATACATCAGCTGTTGGAATATGCTGATGATGTTAATCTACTGAGTGATAATATAGATACCATAAAGAAAAACACAAATATTTAATGGACGCAAGTAACAAGGTTGGTCTAGCAGTAAGGTAAAGTTTTCCTTGTCCTTATCGAATTAAGCACTACGCCATGAAGGTGTAAGGGGGAGGGGATATATATCATCATCATCATATATATATATCAAAGTAAAGACAGAGAAAACTAAGTATATGTTGCTGTCTCATCAACAAAATGCAGGGCAAAATCATCATATAAAGATAGGTAAAAGATATTTTGAAAATGTGGCACAGTTCATATATTTGGGAATGATGACAGCAAATCAAAACCTGATTCAGGAGGAAATTGAGAGAAGATTGAACTCAGGTAATGCTTGCTACAATTCAATCCAGAACATTTTATCTTCTCGTTTGCTGTCCAAAAACAAAAACAAAAAAATTAGACTATAGAAAACTATAATTTTATCTGTGGTTCTGTATGGGTGTGAAACTTGGTCTCTGACATTAAGGGAGGAATATAGACTAAGGGTTGGCCGTGCCATAGCTAAAGTGGTTAGTCACTGGCTTCCCACCGCAGCGGCCTGGGTTCAATCCCGGATCTGGTCAAGTGGGATTTGTGGTGGACAAAGTGGTGCTGGGCGGGTTTTCTTCGAGTACTTCGATTTGCCCTGCCGATCTTCATTCCACCAAATTCTCCATCATCATAATCACCCAGGGTCGGCTACAATAGCCCAATCAGTGGACACCGTGCCGAGTGGACCCAGTTGGACTCCACCCCCCACCCCCACTAAGCGAATTAAGAAAAAATGAATTACACTGAGGGTTTTTGAGAACATGGTGCTGAGGAGAATATTTGGACAGAAGAGAGATGAAGTGACAGGAGGGTGGAGAAAACTACATAATGAGGAGCTTCTTAAGTTGTACTCTTCTCCAATTATATTTAGAATGATCAAGTCAAGGAGGATGAGGTGGACAGGGCAAGTAGCACGAATGCGAGAGAAGGGGAATGCATATAGGATATTTGTGGGAAAGCCAGTAGGAAAGAGACCACTGGGAAGACCAAGGCATAGGTGGGTGGACTATATTAAAATGTATCTTAGAGAGATAGGATGGAATGGTATGGATTGGATTGATCTGGCTCAGGATGGGGAACAGTGGAAGGCTCTTGTGAACATGGTAATGAACCTTCAGATTCCATAAAATGCTGGGAAATTCTTGAGTAGCTGTAGAATTGGCGGCTCCTCAAGAAGAGCTCATCTCCATGAGTAAATATACCTTAGGCCGCGCCATAGCTGAAGCGGTTAGTCGCTGGCTTCCCACCGCGGCGGCCCGTATTCGATCCCGGGTCTGGTAAAGTGGGATTTGTGGTGGACAAAGTGGCGCTGGAGCAAGTTTTCTCCGAGTACTCGGTTTCCTCTGCCAATCTTCATTTCACCAATTGCTCCACAATCACCCTCACCTATCGTCTGGGACTGGTACAATAGGCCAGAAGTGGCCGCAGTACACGGGACTTAATCCCACTCCACTAGCAATAAAGAGAAAAGAAATATACCTTCATATTGCTTAAAATACTGGGAAGTTCTGTAGTACCTGAACAACTGGCAGCTTCTCGGGAAGGGCTCAGCTCCATGAAGTTAGTTAAGGGAATTTCATGTGATATTGATGTAATATTTATAATTCTAATGCCCTAGGGAGCTGCACAATTGGTTTCTTCTCAAGAAGGTCTCAGCTCCATGAAGTTATTTAAAGGAATTTCATGTGATACTGATGTAATATTTATAATTCTAATGTCCTAGGTAGCTGCACAATTGGCCGCTTCTCAAGAAGGGCACAGCTCCATGAGTGAGCTTAGGTCATTCAGAGCTCTTAGAGCTGGGGCCCAACAGCAGAGAACGTTATTACTGATTCCAGAACTAACACCTACTTCGGTGGTTGGGGATAGATGTCAGCGTAATACAGTGCTGCCCGTGTTGCCAGTGGGGATAATGTACACATGTTTAACGTTCATGTATCGATTATAAAATCGACTTATCTCTCAAAACAGGTACGAAGTTGTGGGATGAGTCTTATTGCTTGTGTTCCGATATTTCCATATTCTCATGGTGGAATTTTCGTATGATCAGGGTTTCATAGGATATCTGTTTGAATATTTCATGTGCGTGACATTCCTTCCATTTTCTCCTTCGGTAAGTGAAAGAGACATAACCTGTAACTTCGTGTACTGTGAATACTTTTTCGTTACATATTTTATTTTTCGTAGATAGGAAAAATGTAATGTTGGATTTTAATTTACTAAGGCTGTCTGGAGAAAAGGCGGACGCTGCTTTCAAGACGTACGTAATTCCGTGTCATACTAGTATTTCTTTTCTGGGGTGAGCAAGAAAACTGTGGTCACTCAAGAAGGGTGCTGATTTAGGTGGTGTAAAGTTATGTAGTCCGGTAGAAATCCACCAACGTTTTGGAGGAAGAAACTGATTACATCTTCGAGCTTGAAGTCAGTATGTTCCTTTAAAACTTCGGTGGGGTTCTGCTGGACTACATGGCATTAGCTCACAGAAGATGGTATTGTTCATTGTCATTGCTGTGAGAACATCAAATCCACCAAATGTTCGCTTAGTTCATACATTACTTCAGAGTGTATGTTTCATTTGCTTGAGGGTGATCATTTTGCCATTGATTCATGTATGAAGGTACTCTAGGTAACTATTGCATAAAGTTTCCTTGCCGTTTTTCAGATGTATATGAAATTCAGAAGTTTCTGCCATGATGCGGAAACTCAATTTTTGTTCTCTTCTAACTACCTATACTGTGTCTCAGGCAGTTCATACATTGCCATTGTGTCATAATGCTCTTTGACATGATGCCCATAACTTGATTAGAGTGCTTACAGGAGGTTAGTTCTATGCTTCCTGCTGTTGGCTGTATGCTTAATTGACAGTAGGAGACTGTAAGTGGAGGTAGGTTTAGATTACTGTATTGTTGGTTAGGGGCGAGGAAGGTATACTTATCAGATAATTCATGTATTTAATTGCTGTGCTAAGGTAGTGGCAGAATATGAAATGACTTAATATTCAAACGGAGCAGGTATTGATGACACAGACTTTCCCAGAAATTCCTTTACTAAATTATGTGTGACAAACACAGACCACTTGGCACCTTCTGAACTCAGTTACCACTCCATCATTTAATGCAGAGTGTAGATAAAGTGCTTTGAAATTATTGTACTTTTGTATGGTTAATATGACATGCACATTTAAGAGTACAATGTTTTTGATTATCAAAATTATCAAAAATTAATTTGTACTGACATTGAAAATGAATGTTCTTTATTACTGGGATGCTGGGAAATTCAAATTGCAAAGTTAGCACTGTATTATAAATGTAAATCCTTCAGTGAAAGAAATAGGGATGATACCAGAAAGTTGGAAAGACCAATTCTTGGATGAGAGTTTGTGGAACAGGCTTTATAATCCTAGAATTAGACCTAGTTCACCCATAATCTATGATGATGATGATGACAAGGAAGAGGAGAATGATGACTGTGATGATGAATATGATGATACTGATAACTTAGACTTTGTTTTCACCAAGTTTATCGATGAAATTAATTACTCCATTTACTTCTCTGATTGGGGTATGCGGTAGCATAGTTGGTTGAGGGGCTGTGCTACAAGCCGGAAGGTCACAGGTTCAAGTTGGATTTTTTCAATTGACCTAATCCTTCCAGCTGTACTATGACCCTGGGGTTGACTCAGCCTCTAACAGAAATGAGTACCAGGAATTAATTAAATAATTTTCCTGGGGATAAAGCGCGGCTGGCGCATAAGGCTGACAACTTTGCCACCATCTTTGAGCCGATTGTCTAGATAATGTGGGATCCTCAACGTCTCACAACCCTATGGCCCTTCACGGTCCATTACAGAGATAGCTTTACTTTACTTTTTGCTTTTACTCCTGTTATTTGATTATAGTGAAGAATTAATAAATCGTTAATTTATGGCCTTTCTGTGTAAGTGCTAGAAGGAGAGAACAATTATTCACGGCCGAAACCTTAGAAATTAAAATCCCACTGCCTCATATGTGGACATTATTCAGAAGTATAAGCTTGTACATATTTGTTTTCATTTCAAAGAGGATATTGGGGATGGTGCTGTGATCTCATATAAAATTATCAATTACAAGAATATAAGTGATAAACACATCCTTAACAGTATCGCTGTCTGAACACTGTACTTATGGTTTCAAAATTGCTGTTCTAAAACTTAATTTAACTTCAGTATAAAGAGCCAAAATTCTCATGGTGGCCTTATTATAAATAAGTAAAAGCTGCCCCTCACTTCAGTCACTATTAATTGATCTGACACCTTCAAACCCCATACTGACAAAAATTTAATGGAAAAAATGCAGTAATTTTCTAAAGAACACTTAATTGCATTAGGTCTTAGTGGATTTTTATATACATTTTGTGGAATATGGAATGCAAGAATGCATTTGAAAGCTGAATAGTTGAATGCAGGAGACAGAACAAAAGGAAATTTTCTTTCTAATTTCTGATTTTACTCAGTTTAATCGTTGCTGTAGAGCCTTTATGCTATGAGGAACTAAATGCATTTATAACCTGAAAAATAATTAAAATTGGAGATAGAACCATTAAGAACTAAGGAGTTGATATGTCTGTTAACACTCATCAAACTCAGGTAATCTCTGCAGGTGATGAATCCTATATCATTAAAGAGTCAAAGACTCCTTTTCCATAAACATTTGTGTTGCACCCATTTTGTTACTCGTCTTAGGAAACCATTTAAAAGGAACCATTTCCACACATCCAGCCTAGTGATCAGTGGTCCACGAAAACATGTTGCAAACTTGTAGGAAAGGAGCCAGAGATATGTATGAGTTCAAATGGCTAAGGAAATGCACACCATGGTTTTTAACTTATATCAGTGGTTGATAAATTCAATAGGCCACTCATTCCAGATATAATTTATCACTCTATGTAGAAGAAGAGCTGGGGTAGCTAAGCCAGAATAGTGACTGGCAATAGGCCAGATGACTTGGGTTTAGTTCCTGATGGTAAAGATTTGTCCCTTCACCACTGGTCCATACTGGCTCTGGGGTTCTTCCTGGTGGTCTCTTTTCTGGGAGAAAGCTCCTGGGGCATGAAGATGACCACTCACCTCTATCTAGTGTCAAGGTTAAAAATGCATGGAGCTTTGTTTCTACTTGTCCATACATCTTCATGGTACTTAATTAAGCATAGGAGCAACTTCACCTTTCTGCAGATTACAGCAATGATTGTTCAATTGTGTTGTATGTCTCAGTGTTGAGACAGATAAGTTTGAAGTGAGATATCCATGCAGTAAATGGATTTTCAGTGTACAGTAGCATTTATGCACCTTGAATGTTATCACTGAACTTCAGTTAACTGTAAAAATACTACACTTCACATTGTTATCCACTCATCTTTAACAGCAGTAAACGTTATAGAGTCATCGCACTTTAAAATTTCTAAGTCATACTCGAAGTTTAAAATGTTAAGAAGGGCTATATCGTAAACTGTATTGTGTGGACCTACAAGGATAGCCTCTGAAGCCCAAAGTAAGAAAAGATCACATACATTCATCTTTAAATTTAGAATTTTATGTACCATGCATGGAGGAGGCCCTCTAATTGAAATCCATTTAGGTCAAAATGTGATTTCTGGCCCACAGTTTTCCCATATAGGCCCAGGACCTGTAGTACTCACAGAAGACAGAAGGAATCACACGAGTCCCATAAGGCAGCACCATTAATTACATTAATTAGTAATTTTTTTTAATCGCAGCATTTGTTGGTGGCGAATTAAAGTAGTGTAATATGTTTCACTGTTTATTGTGGATCCCACTTGTGGGAAGTCACACACTGTTTTTAACAGACATTTATGATGCCAGTACTTGTCTTCAAATGGTTTGCTAACAGCATGGTGTCATCATAGAAATATTTTCTGGTTTATCACACAACCAGATTTGCACTGCCTGTTACATCTCATCACCAGTGTAATGATTGCCAATATAAGGGACCAAAGTAATAGCAGTCACTTAGTATGACCTGAAAGCTGAAGCTCTTGAAAGCAAGCAACATTTTCACATAATGACTGGCTTCAGGCTGTCCTTTAGAAGTACACTGTTGTTTGCTGTGTATATTTTCTGCATGCATTTTGCATTAGGCATGCCCCATAGAATATTCAGCTTTACCTTCCCAGCTAATAATGTCATTAAAAACTATTTTGGCTTTTATTATCAAGGATGATTCTACTCTTCAGTAGCTCAGTTGGGTTTAGGCCGAATTTGTGCACCCACACATGACTCATCACCTGTCCAAGAAAACCGTGATTCCTGCTTCATAGTGGGCCTTAGCTATAAATGTCATCTGACATGGTACTCAGCATGCACATTGTCGAATCCCAGATGCTGATTGACCAGATAATGGACTGACAGTGTCAGTGCCATCTTCACTGAAGGTGTATGAAGGTACTTGGTAGTTTTCCCAGATGGGATATTCATCTTCTATAATTCTGTCAGGAGTGATGACATGGGATGTTTGGCTTGGCCATATGGCATCAACCAACTCACGTATGTCGTATTCCATCTTCTGCACCTCTTTTTGTTGTGATTGTGAGATAATCATGTCACTATATGTGGCCTTTGTTCTGTGTTAAATATTTGCTTGTCACTTTCAGGTGCCAAAAATTGAACATCACTATGTTTATGAAATTTAGTGCATGTTTTCACAGAAACTGTTTTCTATTAAGACCATGACATTGGATATAGTTAACAGGAATGTGTTTTGGTTTTAGGTGTGAAGAAGCAGAAATTAGATTCCAGTCATGTCCTCTTGGAAGAAAGTTTCAAAAACAAACCAACGCACTCACCGTGAAAGACATCAGCCAGCAAGCCGAGCACATCTGGGACTTCTTGAGAAAAAGAAAGATTATCGCCAAAGAGCGAAAGACCATAATGAAAAGCAAAGAACATTGAAACTTTTAAAGAGACGCGCTTTAAACCGTAATCCTGATGAATTCTACTTCCATATGATTAATTCTAGAGTAGAGGATGGTGAACATAAAGAGTTAGACAAAGATGATGAACATACTCCTGATCAGATACATCTCATGCAGAGTCAAGACCTACGATATGTTTCAACAAAACGTACAATGGAATCAAGAAAGATTAATCGTCTTCAGTCATATTTACACTTATTAGATGCAGCTAATCAGGTCAAGAATAAGCATATATTCTTTGTGGACACTGAAAAGGAAGCAAAACAGTTTGATTTAACCAAACAACTTGATACCCATCCGGCCCTCTTGAAACGACGTATCAATCGACTTCGAACAAATGCTCTCAAGAATTTGACTTTACCCAAGGTGGATGAAGTTGTCATAGAAAAATTGGCAGCAGAGAGGGACAAAGCGTACATGGAATTGCAGAAGAGAATTGAGCGGGAAAGAGAATTGACAATTATTCAACAAAAACTAGAGATAAAAAGACATCTTCTAAATAAGAAAGAAAGTACACCAAAGAGAATAAAGCCAAGCACCAAGGATGCTCCACCAGTTTATATGTGGAAATATGAAAGGAAACGATAAACATTTTTAACAGTTTTAATTGCAGTTGAATATTCTTATATTCTTTCAAGTTAAAAGCACATAACTACCAGCTACACATATGTAAGTCAGTATTAAGTTGAAAGATTACTTTTCATATATTTTCACAGTAGCATTTTCTTCTATATATGATTTAGCACTATATGACTGTAAATTACGTATAACAACCTGTCAGACAAGTGACATAACAGAAAATATCAATGTGATTGCCATATTTCTCGTCATAGTATGAAGGTATGCATCTTTTGTTGGTCTCTCCTGACACTATCCATATACAGTTAATCAGACTTGTGAGTCAGTTCATCAGCTCATTTCAGACACTTCTGATGTCTCTTGTCTCAAAATGTTCATTGATGAATCACAGCTGTACTGATTACATACAGGCAGAAACTTGTTAGTTGTTAACACTCATGATAGGACTTGTTTTTGTTCATACACACACAAAGAAGATAAATTTTCATTACATATAAATTCACTTGTGTAATGTTGAGGGTTGACATTGTGGTGTACAAATATTTTTGTAATTTTTCTTTGCATAGTTCATGTGGCTGTAATGTGTTGTTTAAACATGTTCTGGTTTCTTATTATTCATCACTATGTTTTTTTCTGGTGTTACCTGCCTGGGACTATTTTCTTATAACATGAACCCAAGTAATATCAAATAAAAGTAAATATCTAATTTGAGATTTTATTTTATCTTGACTGTATCAGCTTATTTGGAAAGAGGAGTCCCCACTACAATCTTTGTCTAACATTTCAGCATATGAAGAAAGCAGTCTTCTGGGATTTGGCACCGTGTGTATGTGGTGTTAACCGACGTTCCTCCGAAACGTCGGTTAACACCACATATACATAGTGCCAAATCCCAGAAGACTGCTTTCTTCATAGTCACCGCCGTGAAAGCCTCAAATCTTACATTTCAGCATATGCATATTTCCAGAAAAAGAGAAGTGCTGATTGTATATAAAATAAACCTGAATATGCAGAAATTTGGTTCTGTCTACTAGAGTCTGTGGGTTATATTCATATTTTACTAATACAAAACATGACAATTACACTGCTTGAATTAGAGTTATCACAGCAACACTATGAATGGTGCTATTTTCTGGAATATGGTGTTATGTAGTCTGGTAGAGGTTCACCAACATTCCACAGAAATGTCTGTGAAATATCATCCTACATAGTGTCACATACCCAAAGATGATACTCTTTATGACAGTTACAGTTTGGAACAGTAATTTGGATATATATACATAAACAGAAAGCAGATATAGCCACATATCGAAGTACACACAAGTACCAACTGGAGACCTAACATGGAAACCACACAGAATACAGTTAAACACTGTTTAAATAACCAATCTACAATTAATACAGAGGCCTTGTAAGACAGCAGACAGCTGACAGCAGCTATGTACAAACAACTCTATACCAGCAACACATGAGGCTGTTTCACCAAGTTGCTAGTACAGCCACATACTTCGTTATACTGGAAATATACATGAGTAATAATCATCGCCGCCGGTTGCGGTAGCTGAGTGGTCTAAGGCATGCACCGTCTTCGCTCACTCGGAAGCTGGGATCGTCTGTTTGAATCCCACTCAGGGCGTGGATGTTTGTGTGTGCGTTTTTCTGTGTTTGTGTAGGTAGAGGCCTTGCGATGAGCTGATCACCCGCCCAAGGAATCCTACCATATGTGTAAGATCTATAAAAACTGAAGTGAACAGAGAAGTTCATGGAGCTAGGCCTAGGCCCACTGGGGCTGTAGTGCGAAGGGGAAAAAAAAAATCATCGCCAATTACAATCTACACAGTTGCAAATGGTACGCCCAACAATGTGATAAATGTCTTATTTCATTTACAGACATACCACTGCAATAGAAACCAGGAAGGCCATTAAAATAGCAAGGCACCTATAGCACCGTCCATCATCAGCCACATCAACCTCACTGATCAACAAGAAATTTCTGTTAAAAACACCCATACAAACACATCCATCAAACCGCACACAATGACCACTCCTGTACATCAGTATTATATACAGAAAACCACATATAACCTCATCTTGCATTTTGAAAGATTTTAACATTGTAATACCAAAATATAGCACATATCTCGGTATGAAAAATTGGCCCATTTTATAGCAGTTCATTTTAACATTTACTCACAGTTAAGTGACCTTGTAATTATTGATTTATTTTGAATCCCTGTAGTGATGGTTCATTAACATCAAAACATAGTGGTGCAGCATAACCACAGTAAATCCTGCCACTGCTGTCTGTTTTATTTTATTGTAAAGTCATTGCTGTGTAATGGTTCATGTACATTGTGATATAAGTACTTTTTGTAAAACAGGTGTTTGTATTATAGATTATAAGAAATTTGGAAATTTAGAGCGATACCTGGCATAACAACTGTGGCATGTTCCCTCTGTTATCACCTCTAGATTTCATTTTGTGAATGCTAACATGATGCTTTCTTAATAACTAGTGTAAAACAGAGTATACAAATAGGTACATGGACAGAGGAGTATAATGTTTTCTTTTCTGTCACTTCTGAAAGGAGATACAATATTTAAATTTATACTATTTCTAAGAAAAGCAGGAATTCAAGTACATAAATATTTTTATGTTCTCGGCCCTTACTCCAGCAAAATCAATTCAATGGCTGTCTTCATAGTAGACACAACATAATGTTTAGTTAATTATTGTTTAATTAGCTCAAAAATCATAAGATGCATGGGAAAGTGTACTGGAAATTAAATTCATGTTCTTTTTCTCTCTGGATCTTTAAATTTGTGCCTCTTTTCTCTCTGTAGCTTTTTTCGAAACATTTTTCACTTTGATAAATATCAACAATTTATTCTTGATAATGTGAGAAATGTTTTAAGGTCATCATGTCACTTGTCTGTTACTGTTGTCCAATTTTGGACAAAATTGGAATGTACTGATAAACCTTATTGAAACTCCCCAGTGTCATTTTTGACAAGAGTGTGTGCAGTGGTACTTGAGTTGGTGCATGTAGATGAACCTGAAGCACAAACATGGCAAAGCTGTTTGTACATATTTGCAACTTTTTGTTGTGAACATGCCAATAATTGTCTTGTAGTATATACTGTTTGTTAATGGGAGTTTGAATCACATCCACATATTGAACATTTGAGCTCTGAAAATAAATGACTTGATTTACAGAATTGTTTTCAGTATCTGTGGTTCTCACAGAGACTCATGAAGGTACTTTTTCTGGGTATATATTGTCAAAAGGTATCACTGCCATTAATGCATGTACTAAGGAGTTGATCACCTCTGAGAAAGCTCTGAAGATTGTAGGAGAAAGTTCCTTGAATGCATCCTTCCAATTCTCGTTCAAAAAGATGTTCATTTGGTCACCTGAAACATTGATATGTATATGACATGGTTACCATATAAGTTAATTCTTTTAAGTTTGAAGATAAATTGTGTTATGGACACAGACTTCTACTGATATGTTGTCAAAGCCCAGAAACATGTTTTAGGGTATAAAAATGTGTGTAGAATTTTAAGTGGCAATTCACCCTCCCATTCATAGGCCCTATGTTGTGCTAATAGTCCAGTTTTCTTAATCAGACTATTAAATTAGAATGAGACTTGTTTAATTGCTAAAGAAAATTATTAACTACAGCAACACAGCGGGCCACAAACACATACAGGACAACATTAAAGAACCCTGTTCTCGAGAACAACAAGGTGGCACACAATCGGCTGTCAAAAAGGGATAATAAGAGGGATGACACTAACCAGCTTGGTTTACAAATTCCAATAGAATCTTATCAAACTAACCATAAATATTTTAATGTATTGGAATAGCCCCTGTAGTTGTAAAGACTTTAGGTTTTACACCCAGTTGTATATTATTGTATGTATATATTTTAACTTTTAGAACATGTACTGTAATAGTGGCTTCTAACTGTATTGATGTAAAGGTGTCCCTCTGAAGACAGAAACATGTAAGGGCATGAATAATTTAAATAAGAAAAAAAAAATCTTAACCAGTCTCACTGGACGGAACTGATTAACTTTTTCATAATTATATATTATTTAACTGTTGGAAAGTTTTCATGACAAGTGTTAAATTAAAACCCTATAATTGGCTCAAAGTTGTGTTTATAATTGTAAAAAAGTGTTGCAGACTCCATATTGTCCTAGTTTCAGACTTGGATTTGAATTAAGACAATTTTTGCAAAATATTTTACTCGTAAAACCATTTAATTATACAAATTATATCAGTAACACATTGAAAGAAGGAACTCAAACAACAAAGACACAGTCAGTTGAGGGCAGTTAAAGCTTCTTGCACAAAGGAAATACAGATGTCCACTCCAATAGTGTGTTTGATGAAAAGATGTAATTGATTAAAGAGTTTAAGTGTTTTAAATCTTACCGAGCAATTTGTTACCATTGAATAGGTTGGTAATATGAATATGCACGTTTTCTGGTGTTGCTGTGGCTGTTGTATTGTGCCTCTTCATATATGTTTCGCCATCCCTTGCAGCTAACTTCCAGTATTGATTGTACACGACGTAGACATGATCTGCAGATGAGAATTCCTTGTTGTAATACACAAATAGAATCAGTTAGCTGGAAAAGGGGACACGTCCATTGGTTGAAACAGAGTCATGTTCCCTTTTCCAGCTAACCAGTTAAGTTGTGTTTATTTATACATGGTTTATTTAACATCAGTAGCTCGGACTGTGTAATGTCAAGATTCACTTATGTTGGAAGCGCATGACAGTAATTAATAATCGGCAGTCAAGGTAGTCAGTATAATGACTGACTATAAGTTGGAAGATCAAGATTAGATACCTATCAAGTGAAGGAATCTGTTTCTCTTCATCACTATGTTCATACCACCTGTAAGGCCCAGCCACATTCATGTCTAATGGATACTGAGAATAAATCAGCTGTAGTGTGAAACTGATTACTCACCTGCATTCAATGTGAAGGACAAGAATTTACGGAACTTTACTTCCACTCATACTTCTTCATGTCATGATGCTTAATTAAGCATAGGGAAAACTTGTGTATACATTTCCTCAGTTTCTTTTTCATTACATTTGTCTTCTTTCCGTTTTCTTCTAACCATGAACATTTATTGAGTATATAATATATAGTTTTATTTATATTTGATGTTGTCTTGTCTTGAGTCTTTACATTGCTCACTCACACATGGAGCTGAGTCCTTCGTTAGAAGCCACCAATTGTGCAGCTACTCAAGAACTTCCCAGGATTTTATGGATCACGAAGGTTCATTACCATATTCATGAGAGTATTCACTGGTCCCTATCTTGAGCCAGATCAATCCAGTCCATACCATCCCATCCTGTCTCACTGAGATACATCTTAATATTGTCCACCCATCTACATCTTGGTCTTCCCAGTGGTTTCTTTCCTTTTGCCTTTCCCACCAATATCCTCTATGCATTCCTCTTCTCTCCCATTCATGTCACATGCCCTGCCCATCTCATCCTCCTTGACTTGATCATTCTAATTATACTTGGAGAAGAGTACAACTTATGAAGCTCCTCATTATGCAGTTTTCTCCAGCCTCCTGTCACATCATCTCTCTGCAGTCCAAATATTCTCCTCAAACACCCTCACTCTATGTTCCTCCCTTAATGTCAGAGACCAAGTTTCACACCCATACAAAACCAGAGGCAAAATTATAGTTATAGTCATTCCCAAATATCTGAACTGTGCCATATTTTCAAAACATATGTTAGCTATCTTTATGTCATGATTTTGCCCTGCATTTTGTTGACAAGGCAGCAACATATTTTTAGTTTTCTCTGTGTTTACTTCTAGACCAACCTCCTTGCTACCATCAATTAAAGTTTCTGTGTTTTTCTTTATATTATATTATCACCAAGTAGATTCACATCATCAGCATAGACCAACAGCTGATGTGTCCCATTTAATTTTAGTCCCACCTGGATTTCCTGGACCTTCCTAATGACATGTTCTAAAGAAAAGGCAATGAAGCATCTTGTTTTAGACCATTCTGGATAGGAAAATCATCAGACAAATGTTTACCTATACAGACTTTACTATACATTTCGTAACACATTTTGACCAGCCTAACTAGTTTCATGGGCACTCCAAACTCTATCAGAAAATTGTACATTACTTCCTTCCTTACTGAAACATAGGCTTCCTTGAAGTCTACAAATAGCTGATTTTGTCTTTCAGATATTCCCTCTTTCTATTCCTGAAATGTCTGCTGGTTTCACATCTAATATTGTTCAGATTATCCCCATTTATTTCTCTTGGATCCCGTAACCACTGTAATTTGGCTTGTTTTCTTTAGTCATAATTTTGAGCCTCCCTCATTGAACCATGGCTTATGCTTTTTCAGCTCATAATAATCTAGACTGTCCTTGACCGAAATTTTGATATTTTCTCTAATAGTGTCCCAAGCTCTGTTAACAGCCACCTCAGTGTCTAAGTTTTCCAAAGCTGAGAACCTATTTGTGATTTCAGCATGATATTGCTCCTTACCGTCTACCTCATGCAATTTCTTGAGATTGAACCTCTCCATATGAACTCTGTATGTTGTTCTTTACTCACTGCCAGTCTTTCCCTAATCTTTGCCACCACCAGGTAGCGGTAAGTATCACAATCTGCTGCCCTGAATGATCGGACATCACATATACTTGAATGCCATCTCCTGTATATTAAAATAAGTTCAGTTTGGTTGTGTCTTCTCATCAGGAGATGTTCAAGTAAATTTATGAATGATACAATGTGGGAACATTGTACTTTTGACAGTAAGATTTTTCGATGTGGCAAAGTTTACTACTGTAACTCCATTATCGTTACTAATTTCATGTAAACTCTCATTCCCAGTCATTGGGTTGTAAATGTCCTCCCTACCTACTTTGGCTTTGAAATCTCCTAGCAAAATCTTCATATGGTACTTTGGGAATTTACTGAATACATGTTCTAGTTATTCATAGAAGCTGCCCTTTATATCATCAATTTTTATCTTCTGTTGGGACATGAACAGTCAGAAGGATGATCTATCACACCAGCTACATCTTAGTGTTATGTATGACATCCTATCACTAATGAACTCTACCCTCTTAACTGGTGATATGATTCTGTTATGTATGAAAAAAACCTGTACCTAATTCATTATTCTCATTTCCCTTTCTACAGAAAAGTGTATATTCACCTGCTGGTTCGGTGCCACCTCTGTCCCATCTGATCTCTACACCCACTGAATCTAACTTATATTTTTAGATTTCTTCTGCCACTGCCCTGAGCAAACCTGCCCTGTACATACTTCTAATATTCCAAGTACCAAATCTCATGTCCATTTTCTCTTGCTTAGGCCGTTTATCCATCCAGATCCAAGGCTTCTTTAGAATTTTCATAACAATCTTATTTTTTATGGTTGGGAATTGTTAGTCCCACTCCCAACCCCCCAAGCTGCAGGACAACTCCTTGTCGGCTATCTGTGACTGCTTTTTCAATATATTCCCAGCTACCCATCATACCTGGAGGGCGTCTGCTCCAGCTGCAACCTGAGGATGGCGCCATGCCACGGTTACAAAGGATCCACCTAACCTGGCGAGTTTACATTAACAGAAAAATATTGGTTAAGAGTGTTGCAGAACAGGGTTCTAGAAGAGAGGACGTAACTGGAGGCTGCAGGAGAAGGCATGATAAACAGTTTCATATTTCCTGTTCTTCATCACTTGTGTTAGGATGATCAAATTAAGGAGGATGAGAATGGTGATGGCAAATGCCTACAAAATTTTGGTTGTAAAACCTGAAGGAAGGAGGCCACTTGGAATACATAGGTCCAGATAGGAGCACAGGCCTAATTGTAGTATGGTTAGCAAACATATAGGATGGGAGGATGTGGACTTGATTTGTTTAGTTCAGGAGAGTATCCATTTTTGGGATTTTATGAACTTGGTATTGATTGTTTAGGTTGCATAAACATTGTGAATTTGTTGTGCAGCCAAGCGACTATCAGTGTGTCAAGAACTGTGTTCCATTCAGTAGCTACCCAGTGTCAAGTTGATGTTTCCCTTCCCAGCGATGGGTAGCAGCAGGATGCGACCTGACATCTCGTACTGCCCGATGATCTGCACCAGAGGAACTGACAACTCAAAGCGATGGTGCTGCTGGTCTAAATTAATCCTATAAAGAAAGTGCCATATCAGAGCCATTCAGTTACTAAGCATTAATGTCTACACCATGTCTGAACTCTCTCACAAATTCTAGGAATCAGATAGATAGTAATAGTGATTGTATCATGGGTGTCTGGGCGGGGGGGGGGGAGNACTAGTGATCCTGGTGGCGCCCATGATTGCACTCCACCTAAGACAAAAAGGGGGGAGAGGGTGCTCAGGAGTCTGAATGGATTTACTATCAGACTTTTCATTCTTTATCAATTGGTAGCCAGATATTGATTATAAATGTCGTGCATTAGTTCAAGTGTTCCTCTGCTTTTAAGTTAGCGTGTTCGATTCCTGATGAGGTCATTGGATTTTTCAATTAACCTAATCCTTCCAGCCACATTATGGCCCCGGGGTCGACTCAGCCCTAACAGAAATTAGTACCAGGAATCTTCCTGGGGGCAAAGGGCAGTCGGCGTGTAAGGCTGACAACCTCACCACCATCTCTGAGCTGATTGTGTAGCAAATATGGGAGCCTGGACATCCCACAACCCTATGGGCCCCACGGCCTGTTAGAGGGATAGCTTTTACTTTTATGTAATAGGTAGAAAGCGTATTCATAAAGACCATTTCCTCTTGGTTATATCAACATATCTTCATAATTTACAACCCCGGGCAAATTCTTTTTGGGTTTATAGTATTTGAGGTTCCCACAGCGGTAGTTATGAAAATTTTTATCATCTGGTATATAATGCCTTGTATTCCGTTGAAAGTCAACCGATGTTTCGGCTCTGCCTGCCATCTTCTTTCACCTGGTTTCTTGTTTGACTTTTTCTTCGACCCTGAACATGGAGGTGATATGTTTCTCCGAAACTTCGGTTGACTTTCAAGAGACTGCATGGCGTAATGTCCCAGAAGGTACAACTCTCCTTCGGCTTTGCTCATTTATCTCTCCCCCTCAAGTTTAAATCCTGTTTCTAGATTGTCATATACTCGTATTTCATGATGTTAGTATAGTGATTAGCAGACCCCGGATTTTGATGACCTGAAAATATTTAAAAATATGACCCAAAATTGTAATATGCAGGGCCCTGATTTTGATGACCTGAAAATATTAAAAAAAATGACCGAAAAAATCCAGAAAAATGACCTAAAGGAGAAAAGAAAGAACACTTCGCTTTATAAAATTTACATTTCTGGAAAATATATGATTAAAATTCCTTAAAAATGCCAAGAAATGCCCCTAAAAGTCCGAAAAATTACACCAAAAATGAAAAAATCACCTTAAACCTAAAAATGACAAAAAATTACCTATAAAATTTACATTTCTGTAACCAGCAGCTCATATCCGAGATTTATATATTTAAGAGCATCGCATAGGATACAAGGAAAAAAGATGACATGTCATCAACATCCGTGCCCTGGTGATCAGGCTTATGAGCTGGATGACTGGGTTTCAATTCATGGCAAGAGAAGATAATTTTATCTTCTTCATTGCATCTTGACCAGCTCAGGGACCCACCCAGCCTCCTATATAAGGGGTACTGGCAACTCTTTCTCTGGGGATAAAGTGGCCAGGGCGTGAAGTTAACAGCTCACCTCCTTCTGATACTGAGATTAAGAATGCGCTCCCCCATGCATCTTCACGGCATGGTATTTAATTAAGTACAGGAACAACTCGTTTAATGTTATTGCTCGTTTATGATCAGTTATATGTCTGTTTTTCTTTATCATACGATATTTATCACTACTGAAACTTTATATAATTACAATCTCTACCTTCTTCTTCTTCTACTACTACCTTGGCAGATCAGGCCTCCTGGCCTGTTCCCATCAGAATTAATCTGGAACTATGGCTCTTGTGGATCTATACATCCACTCCTCCACTTTCCTTCATGGTGTATTGCTTAGTTAAGCACAGGGACAATTTTTCCTTACTATGGCTCTTAGGCCGCTCTATAGCTCAAGCGGTTAGTCACTGGCTTCCCAACGCGGCGGCCAGGGTTCGATCCCGGGTCTGGTCAAGTGGTGAACAAAGTGGCGCTGGGACAGGTTTTCTCCGAGCACTTCGATTTTCCCTTCCAATCTTCATTCCACCAATTGCTCCACAATCACCCTCACCTATCATCTGGGGCTGGTACAATAAGCCAGAAGTGGCCGTAGTACCAAGTGGACTCAGTCCCACCCCACCAAGTAATATATAAAAAAAAAATACTATAAAACGGAAGAAACTTGAACAGACGTCCATGCTTCGAGTGGGAATCGAACCCACGATCGCAGTGTTTGAGTGGGCGAAGACATTTCATGCCTTAGACTAAGCGGCTACTGTGATTGGCGAATTCCTACATTCCTTATACACTGTTAGTAATTTTTTTTTCTTTGGTGCATCGGATATGTTATTAATTTAATCAATTTGAATGTTATTATTTAAATTTTGCCTTAACCTGTTGGCTTTTGACGAAATTCAGTGTACTGCTATATTAATTCCCAAAAGAATCCGGATAAAACGGAAATGCTTTGTGCGCACTGCCAGACATAAAAAGGAGACGTTTGGGCAATAACAGTTGTATATCTTTTTAACGGATTTATGGGCAACTGTATCCACTCACTCTGCTTTCTCCATGCGTATATTCCTGATGCCGTATATCTTGGAGTCTGTTAGGGTAACGGAGATGCTGGCTGCACTTGGTCCATCGTCAATGATCTTTACTTCCTTAATATCGAACGGGTCTAAAGGGGGAATTTTGTACGCCGGGTCACCTGAAAAATTGAACATAGCATACTGTAAACATTAACTACAGTTCTTTTTAAATTCAAGTTTATTTTGAAATATGAGAAATTGGTGGGTGAAATTACCTTTAGGGACAAATATACCTCAGCAAACCAAGATAATTTTATTCGTTAGTTAAGAGGGTTCGATTAAAACCCGTTCGAAATGCCCTATTGGCTAGGAACACTGCGAACGGGTTTTATTTGAACAACCCTCATAATTGTCCCATCTTTATCAGTAGACAGAAAGATTGAAATATACTAAATCACAGTTTATATTATTTGCCTGATTTATATTGGTGTGAAGCCTGGATGGTCACCGTTGTGGAGTGACATACATTTAGGATGCCTGAGAACAAATTTGTGAAGAGAATATTTGGAGCCAAGAGAAAGAAGAGGAACAGGAGGATGGAGAAACCCGCATAATGAGGAGCTTCAGAATTTTTGCTGTTCACCTAATATCATTTAGTGATCAAATCAATGGGTTAGAATGGGCACGACGTGCAGAACGCATGATGGCAATGCGAAAAGAAAATAACAACGGCAGTGAACCGCCCGGTTCCGTAGTAGTGGGGAATTTCCGTTTCTGAAATAGTGCTCTTGTTCCATGAAGCTCGCTTGTTACTACTGAGAACCCTAAGGAGAGGGGCCCAGGTGTGAGCTGTCAAAATAAAAAAAAAAAAATTAATGCCAGAATATTAATGGGCACTTTCAAATTTTTCTGAGCGCCTGTTAATTTCATCATATCCGCTCGTCTGTCCGTCTGTTGTCGTAAGACAACTAGAGAACCTCTAATTGGATTATGATTAAAGTTATTATTGGGGAGTTTCATATGAAATATAATGTATTGACGCATCGCAAGTGTGAATAGAATCGAATAATAATGACAACTTTGCGTGCCGACATACATAAATTTCTTCGCATATCTCGACAAAGGTTTGTCAGGTCTCATTATGGGCGCAGATACAACATAATGAACTTGATTATGCCTAAAGCCAGGTACAGATTAGAAGTTTTAGAATTTTAGGTCTTCACACCGGTGATTATGAAGAGTTCTGTCTTCTGGGATACAACCCAGTGTAGTCAGGTGAAAGTTAACCGACATTTCGGAGGAACATATTCCAGTTCATCAGTCACCCTAACATCGAAAGCTATTCAGTCAAAAAAGACAAACTCCGTGGCCTGTAGTCCGCAAGCGAACTATACCGACCGAGCGACCACCGCTTGTCGGCGAAGTTAATGCCAACTTTAGCGGATAGAGGTTTTCGCGTGGTCAGTGGAACGGATTCCCACAGCCGTTAATCTCGGTTTTCTGGACTGGAGCCGCTATTTCCTTGAAATAGCTCCTCAATTATCCTCACGAGGCTGAGTGGACCCCGTTTCAGACCTACCTCTTCTCAGAAAATCTGGTAGCGCCGGGAATCGTACCTGGGACCTCTGGATCTGTAGCCAGGAACTCTGACCACTAGACCACAGAGGCGGTCAAGCTATACAGTCTCGGTACCGAAAGGTCGTTAAATAACCCACCCACAACCTGTTTCTGCACAATCCGTAGCAGCCTATGGCTCCCAAGTGATGTATTCAGTCTTGCAGGTGCAGGCCTACTAACGGTTCGAAGGAACTGTTCCTACCAGTTTACACGGTGTCATTACCCGGAAAACTGAATTATGAATTTTCACCCTCATGAACACTTCAAAACTTGTATGACCCTAACAGTTCTACCTCTAGAATATAACGTCTTATAATTCGGTAAAAGTAAACCACAGTTTCAGAGGAATATATCATAACTATCTTCAGGGTCGAAAAGTAAGCCATACAATAAACCAGCATGAAGCAGGCAGTAAGCAGAAGCTGATGAAGGCGATGTAGTCATACGAAAACTCGATTGACTTTCAGCAGGACTACACAACAATATAGCCCACAAGATAGAACTGTTCACGGACACCGCTGTGGGGACCTCAAATCATACTTATGTACTCCATTCTCTTCGCGTTTATTGATTTAAGTTTTTGTATGCACGTCTTATGGCCTTCATAAGTGACATCGGATGGTTTGGCACGAATTCGGGGATGTCCATTACTTCGAATCTCAGCCGAGCCGCCGACTATCCTGACTTAGGTTTTTATGGTTTTCCTTAGTCCCTCCAGACAAATTCCAGCACAGTAGGCATGCTTAGATTAGTCCACCACCGCGTTCTTCCTGATCTTTTCCGATTCATAGCTAATTTATTTTCCTGTTTTCGATGCTACGTAGTCTAGTACTGATTACTTACTTACTTACTCATGGAGCTGAGCCCTTTAGGAGGAGCTGCCAATTCTGCAGCTACTCAAGAATTTTCCTACATTTTATGGAACCTGAATGTTCATTACCGTGTTCACAAGAGCCCTCACTGGTCCCTAGCCAGATCTATCCAATCCATATCATTCATCCTATCTCTCTAAGATCCATTCTGATATTGTCCACCCACCTACTCCTTGGTCGTCCCTGTGGTCTCTTTCCTTCTGGCTTTCCCACCAATATCCTATACGCATTCCTCGTCTGTCCCATTCGTGCTACATGACCTGCCCACCTCATCCTCTTTGACTTGATCATTCTAATTATACTTGGAGAAGAGTACAAGTTATGAAGCTCCTCATTATGCATTTTTCTCCAACCTCCTGTCACTTTACCTCTCTTTGGTCCAAATATTCTCCTCAACATCCTGTTCACAAATACCCTCAGTCTATGTAGTCTTGTACTGATATCGTCGTAAATTACACACAGTAATCATACGCAATTCATGTTCTTCCTGCATTAATAGGAGCCCAGTTGTTCTCATTTCGAAGTTCCTAGGAAAGAAAAATGACAAGTGTGAAACTTACCTTTTACTAGATGAGGAATGGCTTCCTTTCCATGTTCCAAGGCGCACTGATTGATATTAGGGTCAAATCTTGAACAGGGCTTAATGTATGGGGCTGGAAAACAAGAGCTAATGTCAAGAAATTAATTCCTTGTTTTAACTGTTCAAGGTACAGAGAATTATATTTTAAATTATTAATTAGATAAGTAATATCAGTGTCTGTAATTACATGATATAAGAACTCCAAATGACATGGTATTGTATCATTGCACTATGAAGTGTTGGAAAAATGTGTCATGACAGTTCTGTGTACTTACGAAGGGGCTTCCCTGCTTGCGACATACACACGCATATAGCAACGAAGACCGCCTTGTACCACATTCTGCCTAAACTGTGTTCTGTGAAATCTCATTATCAAACTCGACCTTTTATACAACTAATTATGCAGGAGTGTAGCAATAACGCCTGCAGGACTTAAGGAATTTTTCTTTCCAAGGCCGCTAAAACTTTTTTTCCTTCTTTTTATATTGATCTATACTACATTACATGACTATCCTTGTTTCTGCGTTCTCATACTCCTCTCTGCCATTATTTTACTCCGAATATCCATTCAGTTCTTTTTCTCTTCTTAATGACTGCTCGGGTTGAGTAACGCTGAACCCTCGGACTCGAATCCTGCTTAGTATTCGTATATACGTAGGATATTTTCTACCCTCTAATTTGGAGATTTAAGCCGGTCACGGTAGCCGAGCGGTCTAAGGCATGCACTGTCTTCGCTCGCTCGGAAACAGGGATCGTGGGTTCGAATCCCACTCAGGACATGGATGTTTGTGTGCGTTTTTCTGTGTTTGTGTACAGGCAGAGGCCTTGCGACGAGCTGATCACCCGCCCAAGGAGTCCTACCGAATGTGTAAGATCTAGAAAAAACCGAAGTGAACGGAGAAGTTCATGGAGGTAGGCCTAGGCCCAAAATGACGGCTGTAGCGCCAATGAAAAAAAAATTGGAGATTTTGAAAGGGCTCTCGTCGAACTAACTTCATGTGTGTCATTATTGAAAAGCTGGTAGTCGGCTGGTTAATCAAGAATTTAGGATTTGAGGTTCTCACAACAGTGGTTATGAAGATTTTTATCTTCTGCGATATAACACCGCACAGTCGGTTTCAAGTCAAACCTTCTACCTGCTTCGTGCCGATTTCTTGCTTGACTTGTTATTCTAACCTAAATATCGTGGCGATATGGTTATTCGAAGCGCCGTTTCGCTGTCAGCGGACTACACAGCCTTATATCTCAGAACACAAATCTCTTTATACTCTTAGGTGCTATAGAAACCACATGCTGTAAGAAAATTGTGAACTGTGTTTTCGTACGAGAACTGGGTAAATGTGGTTGCAGCCTTAATAGGCATTGTCGACTCGGTGTTTGGAAAAGCTGCCGGCTGACTGACAGCTTAAATCATACTTATGTTTAGAGGGTCACACACACCTTCATATTCTTGCTGAGATTTTTATATGTATACATATCTGAGTGAAAAATCTGTACTCCAGTAAGAAATAGTTTCTTCCATATTACTACATAAAGCTTGAGACCGTTTTTTTTTTGTGTGTGTGCTGTGTAGCTTAATTTGCTTGTGCACATGAACTTACATCTCGTGGCACATACAGAAAATGACAATATTTGATATTGTGATTGGCGAACTATTATTATTATTATTATTATTATCATTATTGCTTGAGCGCTCGGAGTGAGCGGACGTGCTGTGCTGTGTGCTCCCGCTACATCTCTTCAACTTCAGCTGCAAGCTTCTGT